GATCAGAGAGGGAAGAAATATGATGTTTTTTCTTCGCAGCGTTTGGCAGGAGTGACTCCTGTGTGTGTGCTTTCATGACTGCTGGACCTTAGCAGATGCAAAACAACACCTGTCTTTCAAATTGCACCCAGTCATCTATTAAAGCTGTTAAATTATGTTAGAGTAGCTATGCGGGAGGAAAAGGGATGTAACTCACTTGCAGATGATGAGGCAGACAAATATATAATCTATAACCTGTTTCAGGGGAAAATCACGCTCGTAAACCATCATAGTATGTAGAGTAAAGACAAAATTGTGTCTCAGGTTTCACTTCTCAATCTGCTCCCTTCCTGAATATTTTTGAATCTGCCAACCTCAATAGGCAGTTCTCAACTATTCAACAAGGGACTTTTGGGTTCTACACTAAGCAAGATGTAATATACGATTCAGGGCCATTCTAAAAAAAATATGCATGCGTGCCCATTTCTGTCCTTGATAGAATATTAAAAACAATTTGTCAAGCAAAAATGCCAAACTTTAGCCGGTTTCAACTTTTCTGATACGAGAATGTGCTACTTGTTTAAACCTACCACAAGTAACCTCTGTATGACTAACACAAGCAAACAAGCGAGAAGATTGGTTCCTGTATTCTTAAAGCGTTCCACCGAGTCGGATTCGGTTGCATTCCTCTTGAAATCAATGAAGCGAGGCTGTAGGAAACAACACTGCTTTGGTCTGCCAGAATCAAAACAATCATCAAACAATTATTATCATAAATAATTGCTACATGATTCGATCATGATGGCTCTGTGAGGCAGGGTGATGATTTGAGCTGAATGCTAATTAGCGTGCTAATATCATCACAATGCTAAAATGCTGATGTTAGGAGGTGCAGAACCATATAAACCATACCAGTTTAGTGTATTAGCATGCTAAGATTAGCTAAATAGCTCTAAACACAAAGTACAGCAGAGGCTGATTAGAATTCTATAGTAGGCTACTGTAGATTATTTTTTATATTAGTATTTGCTTAGTATTAGCTTTCTTAAGTAGCCTAACAACAACAACAACAACAACAACAACAACAACAACAACAACAACAATAGCAACAAGATGAATGTAATCTAAAAATAATATCCTTTATTGTGATGATTATCTTCCTCATTGTCATCATTTAGAAGAAATGGTGATTAAAAAGAAAAGAAAAAACACTCTTGGCTGCTATTATTGTTGTCCTATTCGCCAGTGTATTCATGGAACCAGTGACTGAAATAATAAATTGTTGGGTGACTCATTTGAATTCAGACGGTGGCTGTTTGTGCTCAGTGTGGGAGTGACACAGAGGAGTGATAATAACAAACTGACCTGTAACTCCCTGACTTAAAAGAGCTTGAATGAGGCTTCATTCAGAGCAAAATCAATCTCCTCACTAACTCCGAACCGATGTTTCCCAGACTGCGACTTGAGAGAGCGCCTGGTCAGCGGCAGATAAAGAAGCCCGCGTGGTTGACTGGGAGAAACAAAGGCAGAAACTGGAGACGGAGCCAGTGAGGGAAGAATAGAGAGAATCAGACAGGAATTGAGTACAGTAGCGCCCGGCGGCCCCGCGGAGAGAATCACCAGTGGCCTGAAGGTCGGCTGATAGATGATGATTGATGGTTGCTATCTGCCCACCAAGCCTGTCCGTGGAGAGGGCGGCTGTGTTGGAGTGGATACTATCATCAAGTAAAGTGACCCCTTCATAAAGCCCAGTACGTGCCCTTTGTGGCCCTTCTGTAATGGCAATGTTCAGATGGCATTGTTTGGAAGTGTGTGTCTCTAAAGCTTCACTACATTCACATCCGTATTGGCGCGAGTGCGTGCACTCATTTGACTGTCCATTCTTTTATGTCTGCGTTTGTCCCAAGGCATCTTTATGTGTCTGATTTCGATCTTCGCACGCCACCGCCTGCGCGCGCGTTTCTGCTTCTCCGCCTGTGTCTATGTGTGTGTCTAGCCCCCGTGGCGGCGTCTTCTGGCCCTCACAATCCTCAGGAGAGGGTGGTGTCATTTTTCACAGTGACAGGCAGTGGCCCACGCAGGGTGGCCCCGGGTCTCCAGACTAATAGTGTCTGGCCAGTCGCTCTCCTGCTTCTTCTTCTTCTTCGTCTTCACTTCCACCGACCACCGACCACGGTCCCTGCAGGAGCCAAGACAGAGAAATGGCCTTGGCAGAGACTCAGTCTGCTTGAGGCACACTACTCCCATCGTACTCCCAGTTGGGCTGAGAAATGGCCGAGGCAGAGAGAGAGGCATGCTGAAACAAAATTTAATTGGTTTACTGCTTATATGGATCAAGGGTTTGCACATTTATTCAGATCGAGTTGGTTTAATCAAAGGGCACTAAAACATCTGAGTGATTTAAAAATTTAACTGGAACAATCCTGTTAAGCTCCTTACTTTCGTGCACCACGTTTAGGCCTTCACTGCAAGTTTTAATGCCGTGACAAAAACCACTATTGTGTTGTCTCTGTGTCCTTTTTAGCTCCACTTCAAAGAACCTTGACGCCCATTGCTCCCTATGGAGAAATGTTCCTGTACAACAATCCTGAAAGCACTCCGGTAAGACAGCGTACACTCCCACTAGTGGACAGTGAGTAGCAGCTCACCAAAGAGGAACAGACATTTCTCAGATCTTCAACGCTATCGACGTTGTTTCAGCCACAGTCCCCACACCAGACTTCCCTCTCGGTGTTAATGTTGTCACCATGGACACGTAGCAGAGTGGAAAATGTGCTTGTTTCAGTTTGCCCCCTGAGGTTAATGGAAATGTCACCTAGCCACTAAAGTTAACATAGCTTAGTGCAACAACATGATAACAGTGTCTGACTAAAAGATGGACACTTTCTTTTCATCTGATGCTAATCTCTCCTGTGCTCTGTAGGACCAAGGCGCTAAAGAAGGGTCACATAAGGGTTTTAAGGACAAGATAAAACAGAAGAAACAGAGGTATGGTATGCTCATACTCTGAATGTATAAATAGAAATTCAAGTGCTCAGAAAGTGAACTACTGACCACTCACTCTAAGTTTTGTGTGTTATTTTGCACATTGGATACACTGATAAGATTTTATCCTGTTATGCAGCTGCATTCTTAAAACCACATTCAATTCTCCAGCCATGTAACTATTTGATCTGTTCATGTGCGTATTTTGAAGTCAGTTTGGTGTTTTTAAACGGAGTATTGCTGAATATTCAGATGCAGATTTGTGGTTTATAAAGCTGTAGCCACAATATAGATGCTATGTTTCAGATTGAGTTATGAAACATAAATATAAGACAGTAGTCAAGGTGATAAAAATCACCCTGACTAATAGATTAATTTAGATTATAATACATGTCATGGATGCTAATTATGGAGCTATAGTAGGAGGAGGATATCAACTGAGCTCAGCGTGAAGACTGCACGCATGGGAAAAAGGCTAGCATGACTCAGTCTGAAGTTTAAAAGTGAGTGACTTCCTGGAGTTAAAAAAAACCCTCCAACATGTGTTTTTTGCATGTGTGAATTAGACAACTAAAGTTTTGGAACTTTGGACAGACTCAGGCTTCCCATGTTTACTGTCTTTATGCTAAGCTAGGCTAATCACCTCGTTGCTTTGGCTCCATAACTGACATAAACAATCTTCTCGTCTAACTCTTGGCAGAAATGTGAATAAGCGCATTTTCTAAAACGTAGAATAAGTCTCCAATGCTTGGCTTTTGGCCCACAGTTATGTTATAATATGTTTTAACAGAAATTAAGATTTGATTGATTGTTTAATTAATATATACACATATTGTCACCCTAAAGGAGTAGTTTGAGATTTTAGGAACTTATTCTTATTTGATTTTTTCTGATACTTAGATAAAGATTAGCATAAAGGCTGCAAGCCAGGTGGAAGTGCTAGCTTGGCTCTTTGCGAAATGTTCAATAAACCTCTAAAGTAACGCTATATGTATTCTTTGTTTAAGGTACACCCAAACGGAAATGTAACACACCGTCATGTTCTGATTTTAATGGCCAGGTTCAGTGACTTCCTGTTGCCACTGAGCAAGAAATAGTTACAGCATGCAACTCCACATAAAACCAAAATTTGTCCTTGAATTAGCTTAAAAGGTGCTGGTAAGCAACAGAGTCAAGCTAGCTGTTTCCCCCTGCTCCCAGGCTTTATGCTAACTTAAGCTAATTGCTTCCTGGCTTCAGCTACATAATTAACATTTTTAGTGTATTACCTAAAATTCTGAACTGTTTCTTTAACGTCACTGACGCTCCTGCAGAAAAAAGGTGTCCAAATCGAAAGAGCTAAAGGAGAAAGGGTCTGCTCCTGCTCCTCCGAATATCCCCGACCCCTACAAAGACGAATACTCAACAGTGGACGAGTGCGCCACCATTTTGCCGCAAGCCGGTTTGGACCAAAGCTTTGCAGTGGCTCCTGGGGGCCTTGATGTTGGATCAGCTGCCTCTGGCCCTAAGGACGAGTCTCTAATCATGGTGGAGTGTGACCTGTACTCAGGGCCTGCAGAAGTTCTGGGCGGTGAGGCCAGAAATGTACTGCCTGACATTTCTCCATACGCGTGCTTCTATGGAGCCCCCAAAAACCAGGTGCTCAAAGTGGGTTGGCTGGACAAACTGTCGCCACAAGGGTAGGTCACAGGTGATGATTGTGATTAGAGACATTATGAGATTAATAGAAAGTCTTCTCTATCTGATATAATGATACATGGAGGGGCATGAGACTCTCGTGAATGCCAGTTTTACTGCAGCTCAACATAGGAGAGGGCAATGCTATTTTCATTTTCACAACCTTTCACCTCAACAACCCAAAATGTGCCTCAAGGCCACTTCCTTGCAAGTTAAGTCACCACAGTATGCCAACCACTGCTTCCTGTTTCGTTGCAGACCTTTTTTCACTCTGCACTATTTTTTGCTTATCTTTTTGTCTTTGATGACTATTCAGAACTGATAAAGGGTATTAGATACAGGAGCCCGAAGCAGATCTATCCATAATGCAGTGCGCAGTCGAAAGGAAAGGAGAGAGAATTGGAGATAACCTTGTAGTATTAAGGCGCACAATGTGTTGGCTTTCACTTAGTTTGGCTTTTTCTGGCAAAATTACATTTTCTTTTCCAGAGTCTCTTGGTGCCACCCATGCTATCAATCATTTACTTCCTTGTTATATTCTTCCTCACCACAGAATATTCATAGGTTTGGCAAACTGCCCTTGGGCTGTTGAATATTTAAACTGAACGTGGCCATTTGTTTTGATTATGCTAATTGACAGCTGTTGATACAACTCTTGACATTAATGAATCAATGGCACTCTTGATGAAATATGAGGAGCTGTTCAGGGCAGATTTAGTTACTGGCTTACTTTGTGACAGTTATTTTATTTTATTTTTTTAGAGCTGCAACGATTAGTTGATTAATCAATTAGTTGTCAACCATTAAATTAATCGGCAACTATTTTGACAGTCGTTTTGAATCATTTATTAGGAAAAAATGTATGATTTTAGCTTCACAAATTTGAATGTTTTCTGGTTTCTTTAGTACTCTAATATCTTTCACCCTCTTCTGACATTTTATGGACCAAACAACTACTTGATTAATCGAGAAAATGACTGCCAGACGAATTAATAATGAAAATAATCGTTAGTTGCAGCCCTGTTTTGCCGCCACTGTTTTTTTTATTTGACTTAAAACTAGCTTAGTTTTGTTGAATGAGCCAGATGGATTGAATTTGCACCTCTTCTTCACCTTGCAGAAAGTGTGTTTTTCAGAGGAGGTGGGTGAGATTTGACGGCGAGAGCCTTGCCTACTACAACAATGACAAGGTAAGTGCGAGAAAAACACACGCACGTCCACACATCCCTTCCCCTCCTCCCGCTTCCTGCTGACACACCCACACCCTCCGCACGCACACCGGCAATTTCATTCCTCCGTTGCAGAAATCCATACCAACAGCTGCTGAGCCAAGTTCTAAGTGTTCCCTTCTCTTTCTCCTCCTCCTCTTTCTCATTGTCATCATCATCATCATTAGCTTGGCAGGGTAAAGAATGGGGGCAAGGACAGAGCGACATTACGCCATGCGTGACAGGCCGGCACTCTCTGCGCCCGCCCAGCCATAGAGTAAAGTACATTGATGTTGGCATCTGACCAGTTCCCCCGAGAAAGAAAGGAGGAGTGGGGAAAGGGGAGGGAGAGGGAAGACTCTCCTCCTCTCTTTTTTGCCTCCCTCAGCATTCCTCCCTCCCCTGTACCTCTCTTCATTCTCCTTTTTGTCTGACAGCTGAGTTTGAAATTTCGCTTAGCACTGCCTGCCTTGTGATCAGAGAGAGGGAAGGATGGAGGAGGAGGAGGAAGAGAAAGGGTGTGGAGGGGGGGTGAGAGTACGGGGGTTGAAAAGGTAAAAACTGGAGAGGAGGCAGATGAAGATGTAGGCAAGATGGCAGCTTAACCGCCACCTGTTTAGTCTATATTTAACTTAGTTTTTGTTGAATGTCACAAACTTTCTGGATTGCGGCAACATTTAGAAGTTAAATTCGTAAATGTTTTGCCGAGGACACACATGGTCTTTTACGTGACCATGTGGGTCCTTTGGAACTTGCATGCTGTTCAGTACTTTTTGAATTCTTTTTTTTTTTACATTTTCTAAATGACCATATGTGTGATTTTGCTACAAACTAATACACTTAACATAAAAGGTTAGGTTTTTTTTGCAAACCACCATTTGTTAGAATTTTGTATGTGTATGTATCTAATACGGTAAATATTAAGTCTGCATTAGTGTTTTTCCAACATTATATTATTGTTGTGTGGTGATTAGGGTTGGGTAATTAAAAATGTCATATTTGGTGCCAGTGTACTCATTATATATTTTATATATATATATCTTACTATAATATCTGCGTATGCGCAACTATAGCAAGTGTTTTAACCTTTAATATCATGTAGCAAAATATGCCAAGCTGCTCAACACATCATTATTAAATAAACATCTACCTGAATAAAATGTAACCCGAAATTGGAAGAAATCTGGCCAAGTTCTCGGTGCCAACTTCTGATACTTGACTCTTTTCAATACTTAATGCTACGGATCCATTATAGTCAGCACTCCAAGACTATTGAACTTCACTACCCAGCCCTGGAGGTAAGGCAGTGCAGGCTTTGCCAATCGATCTGCACATAAACCGAATTATCACGCAACAATGATGTAACACTGACACACAGACAGCAGATTGTAGATATGGTAAACATAATGTTTGCTGTGATCAATTACACCACTAAAGTCGTTTCAGAACTCTGCTAACTGATTTTATACCAAACAGAAAGGAAACAGCAGAAATGAATAGCTTCCTTTGGCTTAGAAAAACATTAAAATCTCAGTTGAAAGCAGAGATGTGAAGTATACATTATTTGGATTTGAGGTGCTAAAACTTGTATAAACCCTGGTATTTCTCTTTAAAAAAAAAAGAACTTTAATGCATGAATTCTGTTAAGTGAGTCTCTAGCGGCCATAACCTACCTGACTTAATGTGCTTTACCTTCATGTTCTCGCTAATGACCATTGGATGTATCTTGGACTAAGAACAAACACATCTCTGTGTGTGTGTGTTGTGTGTGTGCTGCTGTGTGTGTGTGTGTGTGCGTGTGTGGTGTCGAGCCGCGTTGACCCTCCCAGCGCCCCTTCCCACGGGCTGGCTCCGTTTTCGCTGCAGCCAGCATCTTGGGCACCCAACAACACAACTCAAGACCCCTGATGTGATCTGTCTAATGCCGCTCGTTAATACAAATTACTAATTTACGTACCCGCCATGCTCTCTCGCTCCCTCTGCCTCTCTCTCTTTCCCCCCTCGTTTTCTCTTTCCATTGCATTTGTTGCTTTATTTATCAGGACACGCTCTGTCGCCGGCAGAGTGGGAATCGGCAGGGAGGCCGGCGAGTCAGCACTTTATGCTCGGTGTCACTGTCGGCGTAGGCACGGCAGTTTTTTGGGAAGATGAAAGTTTGCCTTTGTGTGTGTGTGTGTGAGAGAGAGGGAACAGGGATTGTTGTTTAGACTTTTTAAAGTCATCCTGCCAATGTGACTCTCCCCTCTGAGAAAGCAGAGGGCTTCATCATGTTTTGGGTGAGCGGAGAGGTCGAGTACAATCTCTGTCATCCCTGCTTTGTGCGGCCAGCTGAGGCCCCCGTACCACCCTGCGCCGCCACCCACTGCCACCTCCACAGGCTGAGCGCGGGGGTAGAAGAAGATTCCACGGGCAGACAGGAAGTCTCTCAGCATCGCTCTATGTCAGAAATTGACATATGAGTTGATGGTTTGCTTTCCCTCACTGTGCAGAAACATGCGTGTGTGTGCTATAATACCTTGTGCAGACTTCAAATTGCTATACTGCTCATTTTTTAGCCCACATTGTTGTGGTGTTGACGTAGGGGTGCAAACCTATGCTATTGATCTCAGACCAGAAGTCCACTGATTATAGGATTACTCCATTTGAAGGAATACTATTCATCTTCAGTCTCCCAGGTGCTCTAAGAGGCCAAAACCTGCTCCAACAGTTTGTTGTATCACACATCAGTTTACATACATCAGTTTTAAAACTACTGAAATGAATTCTAACTAAACTCAGCTGACTCTAGCTTTATCGTATCATGTATACATGTAATTCTGAGGCTGTTGTTTAGCACATTTGAGCTAAATGCTAATGTCACAGTGCTACAATAACATGTCCACAATGAAGACTTAACAATTACATACAGCTGAGGATGATAATAATGTAAGGTTCTTTTAGATATTTGGTCAAAAGCCAAAGAATTGTAGAACTGTAACTTTAAACAAAGAAACATCCTTTCAGCTCATTAGCAATAAAATACAACCTTGCTTCATTCTGTGCATACAGGGGTTTAGCTGCTGCATCCTTACTTGGTCTGTTATTATCAGTAGCTAATGGTGGCTAGTGCTAGCTAACGTCATATAGATATTGCTCTGTAACTTACGGGACTGAGCCAATTCAAGATGGCCACAGCGTTGCTTTAAAATTTTGACCTGATGATCGAGCTAGAGGAAAAATCAGATGATCACCAAAATTATTTTATAGTTCTCCCAAAGAAGTAGCTAAATGAGTCACTAAAAGCTTTTTAGCGTCACCAAAAAACCTTCTGTAGCATTTTTGAAGCTCAATGGCAAAAGTATAGAATCCGTTTGGACTTGAAGCCTTTTGTCTCAAATCTTAACAGACTCTGTGCACTTGACTTGAGTTTGGACTGCAAGAAATCAAGACTGATTGGTTTGATCAGCTTATCATGTTGTCCAATCTGCCCGTACACAAAAAAAAAAGCCTACACACTGAAACATTCCCATGCTTGTTCTCTTTTCTCAAACTTTCAACACCCCCAAAACTCTTTTTGTAGTTCAAACCCCTCTGGGATCTGTCAGCCCCAGACAGAACTAATCGCACTTAATCACAGTCACAGCTTGAAGGTCTCTGGCCGCGGTGATGTCATCATCGGGGTAGCGGAGGTGGCGTGGGAGAGTAGCGAGATCCTCGGTCTCACTTCTCCCTCTCTGCAGCGTTGTATCCAATCCGTCTCATCAATCACCCCTTTCGCCTGATTTCGTCAACACTGGGATTGACTTGGGAGAATGCTTTGGTCCTGAGATGGAGTCTTCAGGGTCCCGATGTGTGTGTCTCTCTCTGTGTGTGTGTGTCTCTCTCTCTCTCTGTGTGTGTGTGTCTCTCTCTCTCTGTGTGTGTGTGTGTCTCTCTCTGTGTGTGTGTGT